TATATAGATATATATAGTAATAAATATTACATACATACATACATACAAACATACATATACCCATACATATATCAATATTGTACCTTTGCGACAACGGTTTAGGCTCTCTCAGTTTTGCTGTGCGTGATATAGGCACATTGCTGGTCAAACGACACGTGCCCGTTAATCCCAACTCGATGACCTCCAGCACACTGTTAAGGGTCTGGTAGGTAGGCAAGATACAGAAGTGCGGTACATGAGACATAAATGTTCGTCGACTGCCGTACAACTCACCTGTGTCGGTAGTCCACTTCTGGCTTGCACATTAATATCGGTAGATATATCGCATGTCAAAAAGAAAGAAGAGTTCTTTTCGACTTCTACCGTGCGGATTGTTCGTCTGTAGACAATACTACGTATGATTTAACTTCAATGTGTGTGTGTGTGTGTGTGTGTATTGATATCGGCGTTGTTTCTGTGGCTGTGTTTCCAGCTCTCTGAAGCCCAACGGGCTCCTAGAGATCTGACATGGGCCCTGCAAGGGTGTCGTACACACCGTCGCTGTGGGCAGTACGTCTGTTATGAGTCATGCGGTTACATACCTACAATAGGTGTGATGCTGAGCTTACCTCGGCCACGTATTGGGGTGGTAGGTCGGCGGAGAGTCACCGCTACACCCTCATATATGGGAAACGTGAATCTATACCATTCTATAGGGTTAAAGATACAATAACAGCTTGCCCCGGAACCTTACAGCATACTCTTGATTCGCAAACATGCACAACACATCAGTGACAAGCACCAAGCACAAGCACAGCCGCAAACACAAACCAATGAGCACACATACACATACACCTACACCTACACATACATATACACATACACCTATATCTACATTTACACGTACACGTACACGTACACGTACACGTACACGTACACCAACATTTACACCTACACCTACACCTACACCTACACCTACATTTACACGAACATTTACACGTACACGTACACGTACACGTACACATACACGTACACGTACACGTACACGTACACATACACCTACATTGTACACGTACACGTACATTTACACCTACACTTACACCTACACGCCCTCAGATCCACTCACCTGTCGGTCAGTGATGATGTTTGGGTCGGCTGTGATCCATGCCTGTAGACATCTGTACGCCCCGGCAATCTTCGAGTGCAGCTCTACATTGTGGCGTGTGGGTGGCTGTGAGGCCTGGTCCATGATGTACTTGCACAGGCACATGATGATGTCCAGACTGCGCAATTCAAGCAGTTTTCTGGCGTGTACCATCCATGTGAGGGTCTGTTGGTCATGGTATGAGAGGGTTGTGGCGTGGAGGTCAGCGTGTGTGTGAGTGGGTAGGGGCAGAGACGCGTGCGTGTGCGCGCACGTTGATAGACGGACACGAACGACGCCGGCTTGGATACAAACACACAGACACACATACACACCGAGACAAAAAGGCTGTGTAAGTGCATGGGGAAGAATACTTACACTACATGGTAGATGGACGTATGTTAAAGCAGGAATATTGAATGGCCTATACAAAGACCACCCATAGGTAGACGTAAGCACACACGTCGCACTCGACATACTAGACCCCCCATAGGTAGACGTAAGCACACACGTCGCACTCGACATACTAGACCCCCCATAGGTAGACGTAAGCACACACGCCCCACTCGACATACTAGACCCCCCAGAGGTAGACGTAAGCACACACGCCCCACTCGACGTACTGCAAGAGCGTGCAGAGGAACTGGTGGTTATGCAACTCAGCACATACAGCACAGGTGAATGTTTATAAAGGTACGAGCTTGTACATGCAAGATACATCTGACGATGAGGGCTGTTGCCTCGACAATTCTCATTCGAACGAACAAACCTCCAGACGGCCCCGCTTCTATCCGATGGGTCACAAGCAGAAAATGTACTTGGTCACAAAAAGGACATATACTTGGGCCATGCACTCCATTGATAGACCAGCTGCACATCATATTGGTCTTATGCAGAAAAAAACAACAAAGCATATCATACGTATGCAGAAAACAACCACAAAACACATCATACGTATGCAGTAAACAACAACAAAACATATCATACGTATGCAGATACAACAACAGAACACATCATACCTATGCAGAAAAAAACAACAAAACACATAATACGTATGCAGAAAACAACAAAAAACACATCATACGTACGCAGAAAACAACAACAAACCATATCATACGTATGCAGAAAACAACAACAAACCATATCACAC